TCAGATAGACTAGGTTTACACTAGAGGAAATTGTTCCGGATTCGTGATGAATCCGAAACGTTTTAGTACCGGATTCATTCTGCCGTTTACACGAAAGTGGACGAATCCGAAATAAAAACTTCCCGGTTTGGTCGTGTCTCCGGAGATTTTGAATCCGGAATTTAAAGTGGGAACTTTGAATCCGATAACTTTTGAATCCGGAAAGTTTTGTCGTGTAACCGCTTTTTTTCTCGAATCCGGATATTATTTCCACCTGCAATCTTTTGAGTTTGCGGTGAAACCAAAATGGATCTGGTGCTAACATTGCTGGCGGTCTCCGGTTGCCTAATCTTGTTGCAGGTTCAGGCGATAAATTTTATCATGTGTACCGCAGTATTTCTGAAGAAACGCAAATTATTATTGCAAGGAAGTTTAACGTCAGCCACACTTAATCGCCGACGACGTAGACTGCTTGGCATCTGTCCAACTCAAATTTGCCTCAGTGGCATCTGGATCTACTCTAGCCTTTTTTGGGGGAGGCATTTTCACTTTGTCGATCGAACGACGAAACAACACTGGGCTTGGTAACCATTCCATTTCGAATGTTCCCGGAGTTGTCGTTGTGTGTAAACGGTCAGGAATCCGAATATCCTTTCAGTGTAAACGCTTACGAATCCGGAAACATTCACGAATCTGGAAACTCTCCTTTAGTGTAAACCTAGTCTAATAGTAAAACAGGACAACTCCTCTTCCGTGTTTACATTGAAAAGCTAGTTATTGTAGTATTTATTTCACTACGATACTAGATCTGACTTTCCTTGCCTACTTTATAGGACTACCGATGCTTTTGTGATATTTTTACAATGTTACTTGCCATGTGAAATGAAACAAAACTTTTTTCACTATCTCGACAGCACTGACAGTTCAATGCTGATGACACTCAGTGCGTCACTTTAAATACTGCAAAGAATCCATTTTTAATCCATTACGAAGAATATAAGATCAGTTACTGCACAAATTACAAAAGTACAGATAATACTCACGCAACATGAAAACTAACAGAATATTTCAGAGGGAACAACTTTATGCTTTAGCTAACAACTTTCTGTGGGAGATGGCAAAATGTGGAGCCCTACTCCATGGAGTACCCTATGGAATACCTAAATGGAGTACCCCTAAAAATCATGCATTGGTCAGATGAAATACTCTATAAACGTGGTAAATAGTATAGATGTACACATCTTAGTACATGTTGAGCTTAACTTGCCAGCTCTCCGATTGTCACAGTTTGATATAGTCCAGTTTTTTGGGGGGCAGCCTGGGCTCTCAGTTTTACTGGTTCCTCCATTTAAGTTTTACTCCTGTGTAATGAGTCCTTTGACTAGAAGACAAAAAAAACTCCATATGATAAACCCAGCAGTTTAATGTTAAATTCAAGATGGTGGTCAATTTGTGGACTGTATTGAACTGTGACAATCATATACCGCTGGCAAGATCAAAATACAAATTAAGGTGTGTACAACTAAATGATTTACCATCTTTACAAAGTATTTTATCTGACCAATACATGACTTTCAGGGGTACTCCATTTAGGTACTCTATAGGGTACTCCATGGAGTAGGGCTCCGTGTTTTGTCATCTCCCACTTTCTGTTGTAATTTTACTTTGTATGTGAGATCCAGCTGTCACAAAAATTATTTTATCAGATGAAATTCGGATCAATCCACTTCTATTACAGTAACTGTAAATTACTGACATGCGAGCCAACTCAACATATTACTTACTATGATTAACAGTTAATTACTGAAGTGCTGGTGAATAGTTAACAATTCTTCACTGAAGTGGAGATGGTTAGTGGTGGACATTTGCTGAGCTGGGAAGTGGCGAGGTAAATATCCACTGCTAACCGCCAACACTGAGGTGAATAGTTGTTATAGTGTATACTAAAACAGTGAGATAATATACACCACCAAAAATTAATTTGAGTGTTTTCTTCATTTGTCATGGATGCAAACTGGGACACCATTTTTTCCCAAGTTGCTCGGAGGTAAATAGCAAAGGATATTCGGAGTTTGACTAGCCAATCAGAGCGCGCCTTCAACGCTATACACTGTTGTAGTATATACTAATAGTGTGTATTTACTGAGCCACAAAGAGGTAAAGTAAATATCCACCACTTTCACCAATGCTGAGGTGAATAATTGCTTATTTTGATAATAATACTTAAAAGTGTTTACAATATTGTAACCTTAAAAGAGTTTATTTTTGTCAATTTACTGCAAAATGTACAGAAATCATACCCTTGACTTTACAATTTTATCCCTTCAGAGTGCTGCTGGGAGGGTTATTGTAAAATATTTGCTAATCAAACTAATCAGGTGGCACTTACCAAAAGCAGTGTGTTATATACTAATGGTGACTATATTGATTATATCTAGGGTATATAAGAAATGAGGATCGTGTTTGCTTTAGGTACTCTCTACCAATATTTTGGTCGAATTTGTTGAGAGTTGGTTGATACTCAACTGATATGTTGGTCAACACTCAGTTGATGCTCGGTCAACGCATGGTCAATAGTCAGTCGACAGCCAGACAATAGTTGGGTGATTTTTTGTGACAAACTATTACCTGAATGTCAGTCAATGGATATATCAACTGACTATCAACCAAGTCTTGGCCGAGTATTGGCCAACTATTGACCGAGTGTCAACCGACATATCAGTTGAATATTGACCAACTCTCGACCCGCAAGTCAACAGTTGGTTGACAGCCAGGCAATAGTTTGGGAGATCTATAGCGACCAACTATCGCTTGAATGTCAGTCAACGGATATGTTGACTGACTATCAACCAAGCCTTGGCCAAGTATCGGCCAACCATCGATGGAGTGTTGACCGACATGTTGGTCGAACGTTGACTGACTCTTGACCTATGTATCAACCAACTCTTGACTGATGTACTGGTCGAGAGTACTTAGATCAAACATGATCCAGAAACCATAAGAGTTGTACTTTCCAGAACCTTACAGTCGTATACACATGTTATGTATCTTACTTTTCCTTTAGATTTCAAGAGGGAAGCTTGCATTTCAGTGTTCTGCCAGGATCAAAACTAAACATCATATGCCCTCATGTAGCAGTATCCTTTGTAGATACAGATGATACAGATAGTATGCTTTACTATGAAAACATTTGGCAAGTGGACAACACAAGCTATCAGACTTGTAATGTTAATACTAGCATAGCTGAGAACAAGATTGTCCTAAAGTGTGCTGATCCCCGCAAGATGCATTTTACAACGATAGTCTTTCAGCGTTTCAGTGCCGCTAATTCCCATAGATTTGAGCCAGGAAGGACCTATTATTTTGTTTGTAAGTGTGTTACCTTTTTACTGCTTCTTGTAACTGTCCAGTTTGTAGTTTTTCTGCAAAGGGCTTTTGTTAGTAATGATCTCGAGATGTGGTCCTATCAGAATTAAGGAATCACGTGTACTCCTGGTAACTTTGCATGGTCAATTTATTGGTTGATATGTGTATTAATAGATAGTTGATCATCATTATTGCATAATAATGTTGAATGGGATTTAACATTACATTAGTTAACAACTAGGAGCCAATCTGGTCAGTAGCATTTTGCTAGCACACTGTTAGCATATTACTATCCTTCTGTTAGTATTTGCACTGTGTTTGTGTGCATTCTGTAGCATTTGCAGCAACCAGGTGGTTGTTGGTAGCCTGGGGCAGTCCTTGTCCAGCAGTTCTCCTCATCAGTGCATGTGATGTTCTCCCATGTGCTTGCATTCTGTTGGCTGTGCTATTATAATAGTGTGGCATTGTCATCCTTGAGGATAGCTTCTCGATGTTCCTTAATCCCTCCCATTCCCGAATGATTTTTTTTGCTTAAGGATTTTTATCTGGCTATATATTTATCCACTCATTTATTTATTTGTTTTTTTTTTTCTTCCACTAAGCTTTCAGGCTCTAGTTTGATGGGTGCTTGTCAGGGGCTTAGGGTGGGGTTTTCATGGCTGAGTTGTGGGTTGGGCACGCCAACCTATTAGACTGCCTTTAGACTGCATGATCCATCTTTTCTACCCTTGCCTGGACATGCAATCGCACTGCATGATATTAATCTCAGGCTCAAACTTTTTATGTCATGTGTTATGCTTGTGGAGCTTTCAAGTCTCATGCGTTGAGCATGAGACTTGTGCAAATAAATACACTCTGACAATGAGGCCATTATTTCTCACTCATTTAAGGTTTCAGATTTCAAATAAC